CAGAGCTTCCCCCTCTTCCTCATCACCTACCCCCTTACCCCAGAAATCTGAAGACGGGAAAGCTGGTCCCACCCTTGGCACGGCTTCACTTCATTACTCAGATGGCTGGTTTCAAGCGGCTATCATGGACCTCTATAAGGAGAGATCCACTACAGATAATTAGAATTAATAACTAATCATAAGAAGGTTCTGCTTCTAATTTCCATTTTTCCTTCCTCAGTTAGATTGCACAAAATAAATGTGCTAAGATTTCATTGAGACATAATCTTATTCTCCACAGCCAAGTAATACAGGGGAGGATTCCTAATAAAGAATTAGACTAGCTCTGCCATTTATTCCGATCATGTGTCAGGTGATGAATTCTTTTAGGACAGTCCACTTATGTGGAAGGTGAGGAGAGAGCTGGGTGGGAAAAGAGAAGAACTTTTTCTTAAAAACACAAAAGCAAAAACAAAAACCCCAACCATTTACTGCACTGATCTTATAGGCTATGTGTCCTTATTCCCATTTTACAACTAGTCTAATGTCATATAACTAGAAGCGAGTGGCCCCTTTCTCTTCTTCTGCTCCATCTTCCTCCTCTTCCTTTCCTCTCCTCCTCTGTTTTTGGACAGCTTTATTATGCTATAATTTACAAACCTAACAGTTATCCTTCCGAAGTATGTATGCAATAACGTGACCTTTAATAAATGTACTGGATTGTGCTGCCAGCATCCCAGTCCAATCTTAGGCTGTTTTCACCATTTTGGCAAGTTTTCTCATGTCCCAGTGCAGCAATCCTCACTCCTGTCCCCAGCCCTGGCAATCACTCGTTGGCTTTCTGACTCTAAAGATGTGTCCTTTCTGGACACTTCATACACATGGAACTACACAGTATGTAGCCTTCTGATCTGGCTTCTTTTGCTTAGCGTTTATCTATGCTTCGGCGCATGTCAACACTAGGCTCCTTTTTATCACTTACTGGTATTCCACTGTGTGGCTGCACCATGTGGGGCTCATCAGTTTGACTACCGATGGACATTTGGGTTGTTTCCAGTTTGGGGGTATTAGGTACAATGCACATCAGAGACATAGGTTTTCATTTCTCTTGGATAAATATCTAGGAATAGCCTTGCCAGGTTATATGGTAATGTATGCTTAACTTCTTGAGGAATTCTAAGGAAGTGTTTTCCAAAGTGGCTATAGCATTTTATATCCCCACCAGCATGAAGGTTCCAATTTCTCCATATCTTCACCAACATTTGTTATCATCAGTCTTTTGGATTAAAGCCATTCTGGTGGGTGTTAAGTGGTACATCATTGCGGTTTTGATTTGCATTTCCTTCTTTACATGTATTCATTGGCCATTCATATATCTTTTTTAGAAAAATGTCTGTTCTGTTCAAATCCTTTACTCATTTTTAATTGGGTTGTTTGTCTTATGGAGTTGTAAGAGATCTCGATATATCCTAGATACAAGTACAAGATACTTTTATCAGATATATGATGTGCAAATACTTTCTCCCAGTCTGTGGCTTTTCTTTCTATTTCCTTAATGGTGTCTTTTGAAGCACAGAAGTCTTTAATTTAATGAACTCCAATTTACTATCTTTTTCTTTCTACAGATCACGCTTTTGGTATCTATGTAAGAACTTTTTTTTTAATTTATGATAGTCACAGAGAGAGAGAGAGAGAGAGAGGCAGAGACACAGGCAGAGGGAGAAGCAGGCTCCATGCACCGGGACCCCGATGTGGGATTCGATCCCAGGTCTCCAGGATTGCACCCTGGGCCAAAGGCAGGCGCCAAACCGCTGCACCACCCAGGGATCCCTTATGTAAGAACTTTTTTAAAAAAGATTTTTTTTAGAGAGAGAGAAGGAGAGAGAGAGCACATGAGCACAAGTGGGGCACAGGCAGAAGGAGAGGGAGAGAGAATCCTCAAGCAGACTGTGCTGAGCAAAGAGCCCAATGTGGTGCTCAGTCCTAGGACCCTGAGATCATGACCTGAGCCCAAATCAAAAGCCAGCCCCATACTGACCAAGTCACCCAGGCACGCCTATGTAAGAACTCTTTGCCTAACCCAAGGTCATAAAAACCCTCTCAATGTTTCCTTCAGAAGTTTTACAGCTTTAGCTCTTATATTTAGGTTTATGATCCATTTTGAATTAAATTGTGTGTATGGTGTGAAGTAAGGATTCAAATTCATCTTTCTACATATGGACAGCCAGTTTCTTTACTTGTTATGGGTTTCTTCAGCTTTTCTATTTCTTTTTGAGTCATTCTTTTGGTAATTGTGGCTTCCTAAGAATTTGTCCATTCATCTAAGTTGTCTAATTTGTGGCTTAAAGTTAAAATCCTTTAATATCTGTAGAGTCAATGGTAATGCCTCTGCTTTTATTTCTGATTTTGGGAATTTCTATCTTCTCTCTTTTTCTGGAAGGGGTGGGGGATAGTATAAAGATTTGTCAATTTTGTTCATCTTATCAAAGAACTAACTTTTGGTCTCACTGTTTTTCTGTTGTTTTTTCTATTCTATTTCATTTATTTCCACTCTCATCTTTATTACTGCCTTACTACAGCTTGCCTGGAGTTGAGTTTGCTCTTTTTCTAGTTTTTTTTTTTTAAGATTTTATTTGTTTATTCACAAGAGACACAGACAGAGAGGCAGAGGCAGAGGGAGAAGCAAGCTCCTCGCGGGGAGCCCATTGCAGGACTTGATCCCAGGACCCTGGGATCACAATCTGAGCTGAAGGCAGATGCTTAACTGCTGAGCTACCCAGGTGCCCCACTTTTTCTAGCTTAAGATATAAGTTTCAGTTACTGATTTTTTTCCATACTTCACTCCAAAACAAATCAGCTCTTCAGACAGGGAAGCTGCTGGTTTTCAGAGTCTGCCCTGTCCAGGTAGAAATTTCTCACCTTTGGAATTCAGGTGGAGATTAGAGCAGCCCCACCTGGGACTGCAACAGACACCGTTATTCTTACCCAAAGTCCAACAGATTTTCACAGATAACTGCCCCTCAATACTGCTGAATTCTAAATCCATGAAGTTATTGTGACTATTTTGTCCAGTTTTCTCGTTGCCTTTTAGGGAAGGGATGTTCAGAGTAACTCACATCTGCCACACTTGTCCTGTCTCTAAAGACCCTCAGCTGTCCCTCATTTGAAACAAGATTTGGTTTTATCCTTTACCCCATCTAGTACTTTCACAGGTTCTTTGTCTCTTGGGGCATAGGGCAGAGCTAGTTTTAAAAATACTTATGTTTAAAAAGTAACACTCTTAGGTTATTAACTCAAAGCCCCCCAAAAAGCACTTTAGTGAATCACGCAACTTCCTAAATATTAACAAGGATGAACGGAAACTCTATGCCTCTTAGAATCTGCATTTATGATAGAGAATTCCACTGGTACTCTATCATCCCCAGTTCCTAATCTTGCTAATTTTACAAATGCTCCTTGCACTAACCAAGAGGTGGGGTAGAAAATAGGCTCGCAGCAGGAAAATGCTTCAAGGCCCCTGTGAAGAGCCAGGCTCTCTGCACACCACTTGAGCAGAGGATTTTCAAGCTGCATGCTAAGGTGATGGGGGTACAGACTACACAGTTTTGATAGGCCCATGACAGACACCCTGGAAAGAATAAAGGCTGAGACCGAGGAGACCAGGGTTCAAGGCTCTAGCTCTGCCACTTTCTCCCATTTAACCTCTTTCGGGCTCTGTATCCTTATTTGCAAAATGGATGTTATAATAAAGGCTTCTTCCCAAACTTGCTTGGCTAGGGTCAAATCCCGTGATAGCCATGGATGGCCTTTACAAATGATTCACATGCTATAAATGTAAGGCTTTAAATTATGAATTAATATATAATTAATGTCATGAAATCCCAAGATGCACTGGCTAAGAAAGAGACTGTTTCTCCTTGGCTGACTCTTCCTTTCTCTGCTTCCCTGCCTCAGGACACAAGAAGGCTGCAGCCCAGCAGACCATTGCCATATACTCCCACCATCAACTCCTTTACTTCTCTCCTCCCTCACGGTGGGGATGAAGGATGGAAGCAGATGTTCAGAGGACAGAGCCATGCTCTGGTACCCAGGTGTGGCAGCCCACAGCACATGCTGCCTCTCAAGACCCACACTCGTATCTCTTGACACTGGAAAGTGGGGCCTTTTGGCTGAGTGAGGCTGGGAAGAGAAGCCCACAGAGTAGGAGGAACAGAGGGAGGGAAGTGTCAGGTGGGTTTTCACGCTAAGCTTTAGTTCACCCAGAGTCACCACAGCCCCCCTGCCAGTTGTCAAATTATCATCACGTCACTGCAAAGCTATGCTTTCACAAGTGCAAACTCTTAAGAGCAAGAGGCAGCTCTCTTTTTAACTCAAAATAGAACTTTAAAAGTTTTCTCTGTGAGGGATCAGGGTTTGTTTTAATGTGTTTAAAATGGATTGCTGTAAACTTCTTACCTTTAAGTATCTAAGGAAATTTCAACACAGGGTTGCAACATCTAAGGAAAACTAAGGCTATTCATCTCAATATACATCATGAATATGTATATATATGTATGTATCTTTGTTGTCTTAATAAAGGAAGTTCTGGGTCCCAGGCTGGATAAACAAGACAGTAAAGAAAGATGTCATCTCCCCAGCTTTCCATCATGGGAAGCAGCAATAGGTACGATGATCATAAAGGGAACAGAAAGCAGCCACCTGCAACTATGGGTCTTTCAGGACAGAGGCTTCTTCTCAGAGGGGCTTGGGTTTCAAAGAAACATCAGGAAGCAGAGTGTGGTGATGGCAGTGCCTCAGCTAGATGGCATATCCTGGCCTTGCCTCCAACCACTCACTTAACCTCCCACCTCCTCCTTGGGTCAGCTGCCGCCCAGGGAACAAGAACTTCCTAGATGACTCCCAGGTTACGTGTCACCGGCCTGCGCCCTGCCTGCCCCTCTTGCCTGGGCACCCTGGCCTGTCTTCCCGAGTGGTGGCCCAGTCCCAGCGGGGAGGACCTGGAGGCCAAGGGCAGAGCAGACCTTCGGGGTTACCTATTTGTCTCTCCAGGTCAGCGGCTTCATCGGGCGTGGCTCTCGGAAGGACTCCTGGGTCACTGAAGCTGGTGCGAAGCAGGGTCCCCATCACGAAGAAGAAGAGAATGCCACCAACCACAGGGATGGCGGGGGTGATTTTCACTGCCAGATACGGGCAGCTGCCAACAGGGTGGAAAGGAGGAGGGGAAGTAGGGAAGGGGAGGGGGAAAAGAAAGGAAACATAATGTCAGTAATCAACAGTGAGCAGTCTATAGTTTCCAAGAAGCCAAAAGTCTCTTTGAAGGAGCAAAATTGATTTCCATTAAAAATTCATCTGTGTGAAGCATTTACATTTGGGGGGGTCTGTCATGCTCTCTAGCAGACAATTTAACCCTCCCTCCTCAGCTGCAGTAACCCAGGCCCTCTGCTCCCACCATTCTCCTCGGGAAAGACACTGCAGGCAAGTGGCAGTCATCCTGCTTGGCCAGTCAGTGAAAGACATACAGAGTCACACTGACAATAGAGCTGATGAATCTGTGGGATCTTCCCACCCTTCCCTGGAACTACATAATAAAAGAAACACCAGCTAAGAGCCGTCTCCACCAGACCCAGTCTGTCCTTCCTGAGGCGAACATGAACTCTTCATGGTAGGGGGGAGGGGAGAAAAAAACACCAAAAAACTGAGAACCACAAATTCACCCTTAAAAGGCAAGAAACCATTTTTTCAATCTCTTGGAGTTAATCTATTCAAAAGAGGTTAATGACCTATGGAAATGAACTTGCAAGGCAGTTTCTGAAGAGGCTTCATGGAATTTAGGCAGCTAGAATACAATATACTCCTGCTTTCCAGAAGGCATGTGAGCTACCAACTGAAGAACATGGCCTAACTCAATTCTATGAAACCTCCTCACTGTCTTTCAATATTGGGAGCTGATATGCAGCCAGGGTAGGGATGAGTCAGGGAGACAAATGTCTGCCAGCCAGGCTCTGGGGATCCAGGAACTAGGGCAGCTCCAAGCACCCCGCCCTGGATCAGTCATGGCCCCTTGGTTCCACAGAGGTGGCAAGATGCAGAGTGAGAACCAGCTCAATGCCCGGAGCTGAGTGAGGGTAGGATCTGCAATGTTCATGGTCATGGTCAGTCTGTTGTCACCATGTTCATCACGGGCATCAAGAAACACAACATGGAACCACAGAATGGTAATATCTGGAATGGAAAGCATCTCCTAGATGGTCCATCCCATCAGAGGATGCTCATGCAGACACTCAAGACAAAACAAAGAGAGGGAGCTGGAGAGGAAGGATCTGCTCAAGACAAGGAGGTGGACAGGGGGGCTCCATCCTGGGAATGTTAGGGAGGTCTAGCACCCCATTCCTGTGCAGTGCTTGCAGAAGAGGTGGTGAGGTCTCTGATATGATGGCAAGGGGATCTTGGTAAGAGGTACAGGCCTCGAGGATCACAGGACATGATCCCCTTTGCTGAGGCCAACATTAGGCATGTTAGAATGTCTGGTCTTCAAGAGGGATAGTGAATTGATATACTCTGTGGGATGGTTACTATGACCTGAAGACCAAAGGCCTCCCCCAAATTATCTGCTCTGGAGGAACCCAGAGAATCTCCAACAACTTTAAGAAGGTAGAGGAGTGACCCCCAATATGACTAGGTCTGTCCTGCCAGGCAGGCAGACTGTGGTCTCCAGGAAGATCACTTGATTTAGAGAGATAAAAATATATGACATTTCTTTTTTTTTTTAATTTTTTTAAATTTATTTACGATAGTCATACAGAGAGAGAGAGAGGCAGAGACACAGGCAGAGGAAGAAGCAGGCTCCATGCACCGGGAGCCTGACGTGGGATTCGATCCCGGATCTCCAGGATCGCGCCCTGGGCCAAAGGCAGGCGCCAAACCGCTGCGCCACCCAGGGATCCCATATATGACATTTCTAACAACTCTTTCATCTCTCTCACACCAACTGCCCTGCAGAAACAGCACAAAACAACCATCACCAGTACCATGTCACACTTTGCTCACTGGATTGTCAGTTGACTTCCCTTCATGAGACTCATGGGAAATCATGAAAAACTGTTCATTCTCATTCCTGCATCAATATAACCCAGCCCAAACTCCCAGATACTTAGACACTTTTTGAACATCTATAGAGTAGGAAAGTGAATTTAGCAAAGAGAGCCAGCAGACATAAAGAACTTGCTGTGGCGAATATCATTTCCAAAGGGGAAAAACTGAGAGTCTTTCCCCTAAGATCAGGAACACAACACAAAGGGGAAAAACTGAGAGCCTTTCCCCTAAGATCAGGATGTTCATTCTCACTACTGCCATTCAACATAGTACTAGAAGTCCTAGGCTCAGCAAACAGACAAAAAGGAAATAAAAGGCATTCAAATTGGCAAAGAAGTCAAACTCTCCCTCTTCTCAGATGACATGATATTGTATGTAGAAAACCCAAAAGACTCCACCCCAAGATTGCTAGAATTCATACAGCAATTCAGCAATGTGGCAGGATACAAAGTCAATGCACAGAAATCAGTGGCATTTCAGTGGCAGTAACAATGAGACTGAAGAAAGAGAAATTAAGGAATCAATCCCATTTACAATTGCACCCCAAACCATAAGATACCTAGGAATTTACGTAGCCAAAGAGGTAAAGGATCTGTACTCTAAAACTACAGACACTTCTGAAAGAAATTGAGGAAGACACAAAGAGATGGGAAAACATTCTATGCTCATGGATTGGAAGAATAAATATTGTGAAGACATCAATGCTACCCAGGGCAATTTACACGTTCAATGCAATTCCTATCAAAATACCATAGGCTTTCTTTGCAGAGTTGGAACAAATAACCTTAAGATTTGTATGGAATCAGAAAAGACCCCAAATAGCTAGAGGAATATTGAAAAGGACACCAGTGCTGGGGGCATTCATTGCCTGATTTCAAGCTGTATTACAAAGCTGTGATCATCAAGACAGTGTGGTACTGGCACAAAAACAGACACATAGATCAGTGGAACAGAATAGAGAACCCAGAAATGGGCCCTCAACTCTATGGTCAACTAATATTCAACAAAGCAGGAAAGACTATCCACTGGAAAAAGGAGTCTCTTCAATAAGTGGTGTTGGGAAAATCCGACAGCCACATGCCGAAGAATGAAACTGGACCGCTCTCTTACACCATACACAAAGATAAATTCAAAATTGGTTGAAAGATCTAAATGTGAGACAAGAATCCATCAAAATTCTAAAGGAGAACACAGGCAACACCCTTTTTGAACTTGGCCACAGCAACTTCTTGCAAGATACATCTATGAAGGCAAGGGAAACAAAAGCAAAAATGAACTATTGGGACTTAAGATAAAAAGCTTCTGCACAGCGAAGGAAACAACCAACAAAACTAAAAGACAACTACAGAATTGGAGAAGATATTTGCAAATGATGTACCAGATAAAGGGCCAGTATCCAAGATTTATAAAGAACTTATCAACCTCAACGTCCAAGACCCAAACAATCCAGTCATGAAATGGGCAGAAGACATGAACAGATATTTCTCCAAAGAAGACATACACATGAGCAATAAGCACATGAAAAAATCCTCCGCTTCACTTGCTATCAGGGAAATACAAATCAAAGCCACAATGAGATACCACCTCACACCAGTGAGAATGGGGAAAATTAATAAGGCAGGAAACTACAAATGTTGGAAAGGATGTGGAGAAAGGGGAACCCTCTTGCACTGTTGGTGGGAATGCAAACTAGTACAGCCACTCTGGAAAAAACAGTGTGGAGGTTCCTCAAGAAGTTAAAAATAGAGTTACCCTATAACCCAGCAGTTGAAGTACTGGGTATTTACCCCAAGGATACTGATGTAATGAAATGACAGGACACCTGCACCCCAATGTTCATAGCAGCAGTGTCTACAACAGCCAAACTGTGGAAGGAGCCACAGTGTTCTTTGACAGATGAATGGATAAAGAAGATGTGGTATATATATTTAAAAAATATATATTATATAATATATAATACCCCCATTATATATATAATATATAATAATAATAATAATAATAATAATAATAAAGAACTTGCTGTGAAAAAACAGAATACAAGACTGTCTAACCTAAAGATCTCTGCTTTGTGAAAGTATTCAGTTAAATTATGGAAAAGACTTTTTAAATACAACCGATTTTGCTCTGCATTAAAAAAAAAAACAAACAAACCAAAACACTGCTTTCCTCGAGTGTTTTCTGGCAAATACTAACATAATTAATACCCTTTAATGGGCTTTCAGTTTTTCTAAAAAATGTGAAAAGCTTCAAGTTGAATAAACAAACATTTAAGAGACAAGGGACACCATAATCTGGCAAATACCACTGAGTGTCTAATTCTGGATTTGTAAAGGGAACATTTTCTTGCAATAGGAATTGGACAATTAGAAGATTTTAAAAGATGGCCCCACTTAGGGATTCAATATAAAGTGACTATCAAAATCACATTTACTACTGAATCAAAGCCACAATCCAAAAGTTCGTAGGGGGCTGAATCCCGATGTGGTGCGATACAGTGGGCTTCAGGGATAGGTGGCTCTCAGGACATGTCTATTGCATCGTTTGGCATGTTTGGACTGTGACATAGAGCTTCTATGAAGAGCTGGTAATAAAGACCAGTTGCTGCAAGTCTTTTGATTAAATCTCTGACTATGATGCCAACCTGGAGTTAAGAGCAAGGAACTCAAACTCTAGAGGGTCATCAAAAGTTATTTGTGTCATAAAATGTGACACCACCTTTGTTACACTTATTGTCATATAAAAAACAACCTCACCATTGTATTAAGCCTGGAAAATGTGCTAGTGTACCTCAATCAGACATAAACACAGTCCATATCGAAGGCATAAAACTGACCCTGGTACTAATAGATCTCTATTTATATTAGCCTTAAAAGATTTATTTTTATTTTTTCTCTTTAGTTTTTTTTAAAATTCTAGTTAATTAACATTTTTGGTAAAATTGGTTTGAAATGTAGAATTTAGTGATTCATCATACAACACTCAGTGCTCATCATAACAAGTGCCTTCCTTCATCCCCATTGCTCATCTAGCCCATCCCCCACTCCTCTCCCTCCATCAACCTTTAGTTTGTACCCTGTCACTAAGAGTCTCTTATGGTTTGTT